TTGGGCTGGGGTTGTGGCTCAGTGGTAGAGCACTTATTAGACAAATATGTCCATTTATTTAAGGAAGAAAATTAATATCAACTCTTTAAAAAAACAATATTAAAACTCATCATCATTAATCTAAATAAACCCTATACTGTGGGGGTTTCAGAAAAACACTGCTAAGAAGAAATAGGTATATTATTTCCCTGTCATAATTGGTTACTATTAAACATACTATCTTATGGGAATCAGAAATACTGTTGCTAGGAAAGTATTTTAACTAAGATTTTATGTCAATAATAATCATAATCCATACCTCATAGCTTATTTCCAACTTTTCATGTTAGATAAGGTTTTTGAAATTACATCTGATAGAATTTATGTGTCATGTTACTTTGCTTTACACAGATTGGTTGATATTCATGCTTATCAGGAAACGGACATGCTGGAAATGTCCTACATAAACCCTTGAAAAAGTGAAATAAACCCTAAATGAGGGTATAGAAACTGCCATCCCTCACAACCTTCTGGCAGGGGCATTCAACATGAGTTAACTATTTACAAGAATAAAAGTTATTTTATTGTCTAAATGATTCCTTCTGCAACCACTCTTTGAATGCTTTCCGTGTGCACAGCTTTCAGCTCTACTCTGCTGAACACCAAATGCTTTAAGAGTACTTTATGCTTTTGAAGCATGTCCCAATAGTTCATGCAAGTATATTCCTTCATTTGGTTTTCCTCAATATTCCTTGAGAGTGATAGTGCAGGTGTTATTATCCCAATAAACTGATTCTCCAGAGTCCCAGGGCTATTCAGAAGGTGCTGATCCAAGGCTAGAATTCCAGTCATCTAATTCTAGGTCCAATGGCTTTCTATTATACCATAAAAGAGAAAGGGATGGGGGAAATTACATCTAAAATAAAGATAAGTACTTAAAACTGACTATAGCTATGAAAAACATTGATATCCAGTTTGTTGAGGGAATACACATTAAAAAGAAATCTTCCTCTTGGCTAAGAATACAGTTATAGTACCCTTCAAACAAAACCATTTATAAAATACCTTCTATGTACCAGACACTGCTATGGCTTTACTCACATTATCACATTGAAGCTCTGAGTAATAATTTCCCCAAGCTCAATATCTAATGGTATTGAACTTTAGTGGTAGAGCGAGAATTCACACAATTCTGTATCATTCCCGAACTTGTATTTACTCTTTAAGTGCTTTCTCCCACTGTCTTCCTCTATAGACTTTCCTATTTTACTTCCTAATTTCTTTGAAAAAAAAAAAAGTGGGGGGTTGTTGACAGCCACAGGTAAGGAAGGAAGCAGGCCATTCATTAGCTTGCTAAATTATCACTAGCTGCCCTGGTGCCTCATTTGCTCTGGGAATGCCCATGATGGACCTGGGGGGAGAGTCTTCCCAGAATGGAAGTGCCAGATCAGAGACATGAGCAAAGTGACATAAAAGCCTAATGGTGACACACTAAGGAAGTCTGGGGACAGTCCAGAAAGACTATCAAGATGAGGGCATGAGTTGAGCCTCAAGTATCTCTCAGGCCAAGACAAGAGAAGGAACATCTGCAGTAGAACAAAAAGCTGTGCAATCAAGCATGTACAGAAAAGAATTCCTGAGTACAGAAAACCATAATACTGGTATTACAGGATCACAGAATTCAGTTGCAGGAGGTAGAATGGTGTACTAAAGAACCTTTTAGGTTGAAATAAACAGATATTGGACTTTATCCTAAAGGCAAGAGTGAGCAGACACAGAACAGCAAAGTTTATTGAGCTTCCGTTACTTAGGCATATAAGTTGCATGTACAGATATGCAGGACAGTTAGTCAAAGTATGAGCTAATAAAAAAACTGGGCTTGGATGGAAAAACTAAGCTTTCCTGTTTTATTTCAAAGTTTTAAATAAAAATCACAATAACCTATAATTGCTCTAATGAGACCATGTGACCAGGAGATGTAAATGATATAACCATGCTACTACTCTCAGAGCATGAACATAACACCTCTTTTGTAAAAAGCCTTCACTTTTTAACTCATTTGACAACACACTGTGTGTGTTGTGCTCCCACTGTGTGCTATGAGCTGTGTTAGGCATCGGCGCTGTGCGAAGCACTGGTTGTGAAGAAGTTCATTTGAAGTGACAGGTAACATGATTTGTTTATAAAGCCAAAGAAAGCAAGGGAAATAAGACTGAAAATAAAGCAAGTGTCAGAGAAAACAAAGAAAAAATAAAGAAGAGAGAATAACTCCTAAGAGATAAAAAGTGGAAATGAGGCTTACATTTAGGAAAGCAAGCATCTGCTGTAAGTAACCATTTCATTAAAAGTGCACTAAATTGCAGAGGTTCTCTCTCAGGAACAGCATACTGTGGGCTGAGATTAAGGATAATGGGCTCCCACATGAATTCTTCTCATTACTTCTCTTGAAAGAACAGTAAATCTACTGAAAGGGTAATTTAGGTTTAGTGTTCACAATCCATTCATTTTACTTTTAATCTTCCCAGTTTAGGATTTTAAAAATATAATGCAGATATAATCCAAAAGGGAAGGAATGGGTCCAAAATGAGATAATTTCAATTCTTCAAATAGCCTTGGCATTGACAAATATGGAGGAGGCTGTAGACTTTGCGTTCCTGATAGATTATGATGGAGATTTGGCCTGTTTAGAGAGCATTGCACACTATTAATTGCAGGAACCCATTAAAGGACAGCCAACTAGAGATAATCTATACTTTACCCCCTGAATTCTTTAGACCTTTATGTGATTTTAACTAAATCTCTTCTCCATCCCATTAAGTTTCACTTTAAATGTAATTCCACAGAAAGGAAAAGGTTTGAGGACTTTTGTCCAGGACAAAAAGAAATAAATTATTTGGGAGGAAAAGTCTGCAAAATGAAACATCAATTATTCAATTGTAGGAATGAGATTTTACAAAATAATTTTTCAAAAATGTGAGCCTGCAAAATGACTTATAATCGGTATTTTTTTTTTCTGTTGTTTAACTGATACCAATAGGTTTGTGGAACTGTATTAAAGAACATGCAAAACCTGTAGTCTTTCCTACAGTGTTATTTCTAGGAAATAAAAGAATCAAATCCTCCCTGATTTTCTGTGGTTCTCCTTGGCTTTCCCATTGGATACAGGGAAATACATTCTGGGCCTGTAATGTGCACATTGGATCCTTATTAACCTAGTGACCTATTAAACCAGCTTTGTAGAAATCTAGGAGGACAGCAAAGGCAGACACACTACACATAGTGGTACATATGAAGGAGCTCGTTCATACAATATAGGATTATGTTGATTTGAAACTGAATTATTGTTTATAATGTCTAGAGTTTGCTTTTGTTTCTCCATTACAAATCAAAGGATTTAACATTTCCTTTTCAGATATTAAAGAAATGAACACTTAGTCTAGTGGGAATGAGGAAATGAATTTTGTTAGAATTTGAGAGTAACAATTTATCCAAAGGAAATTAGCAGCATAGACCCTCACTGGACAAACAACACATTACATGAAATAATTGTTATGACATTTCAATGCAGTCTCACCATGAAGCATTTCCTTGTAAATGACTAAACAGACCATGTCTTAACAATTACTTTTTAAGAGAAAACATTAATACCCTTAAAAGTTCCTATCATAATATTGACAAGAAGGGAAAACATTTAAGTACCAGGAAAAAAATATTAACTAAAACATAGTATGTAGTAAGGAAATTCATTGAGAGAAACAAATTCTTTGAGTGGTAAAATGTTCACAATTACATAATGTTTTTTTTCCATAAATGCTAAGAAAGAATCCAAAGGATTTCTGGAAATTAGACTTATTTTCACAAAATCCATTAATCTATTTGAAAACAAAGACAAATAAATTCTTAAATAATCTCTCAGAACAAACACATTATGTTTTTAAAGGTAATCACTTTCATTTCATCGAAAATAAAAGAACTCTAATCTGGTGGCTTCTTTATGACTTTCATTAAACATTCTTTCATGTGTTCAATGGTTTTTGGAGGAAAGGTTTGAGTTCTTCAAAGATGTCATTTCAAGCTGCATGCATCTTCCTTCATTTGTTCTTGGATTGCAACATGGAAACTAAGAGGAGTATTGGATATTTTTGCTGTCTTTACCAGAAAAAAAAAATACCATGAGTTGTAGGTAAATAAAAGATCTTCACTTGATCACAATAAGTCTATCTTGTCTGATAGAATAAATGAAAGATGGCATTGAGTAATGAAAGGTTTGTACCAGCCATTCTAAAGTGTAGGATCATCATTGATCCCATTAAAAAATACAGCCAAAAGATACTGTCCCTGGTATTTATTGATCTCCTTAACAGCAGTTATTCTTCAACTATGTTCTAATCATCTTGCTTCCAACAAGAATCAGGTGTTTTGAGTCTCCTTTGTGTTTTGTAACTGCATTAACAAAGATTTAGGCTGACCCTGCTCCCTGACTATGGGAGACTACGGGAGAGATATATTTTTGTTAAATAAAGACATGTGGCTTCAGAACTAGCAGTCACTTACGTACTATCTCAATCTGTTGCCCACAGTGTATTACAAAAGGAACCATTCAATAAAGCCATAAGAGATCATCCTTTGACAGCTACCTTCTCATAACTAATTTCCCAAAAGTTGCTATTCCTTTTAGTGCAATTTTCTTGCCACAAAAATCACCCTGCCTCAGAATAACAAAGCAATATATTTTACTGATTATTTTTTCTATTTTTAAAGAGTTTGTTTGTGCATATTTAAATATTTCTTCAATATCTTAGCTGCTAAATCATTATATGCAATATTAAATGTTCAAACCCTTATTAGCAACTGTTAAAAACATAACTTCCATGTGTTCCTTAAGGTAGGGCATGTTTGATTTCTGAATTGTTGTCATATAGATTGTAAGGCCAAAATTGGGCCCTTTGAATATGCAAAGTTCCCCCCTTGAACTAGGCAGATTTGCAACATTTTAAACTGGCACTTCATCCCTCTTTCAGCAAGCATCCTCTGCAGATTTAATGATCAGGAACATCCTTCTGATGCATGCTGGGAGATATGGCTGCAGGGTACAGACCACAGCAGACAGTGTGTCAGATGAGGCAGAACTTCTTGTTAGGGGTGAGTATGCTAATAGTGCAGTCTGAAGACATGATCACCATAAATTATCATACAAAGGAATTTAAATGCATGGACTTTGAGCACATCAGTACTATGCATTTTACTTTCAATTTTACAATATATGTCATTTTTGCTTAACCTTTTGCCTTTGAAGAGATTACATGGAAAACTGTTCCTTAGTAACAGACGAAACCTACAGATCCAACTTCAGGGTCCAAAAACACTCTTAGCAATAAGTGATCACTGAGTGTCAAACCAACTTACTGCCAAGCATAAACTCGAAACAGTAGAGATACTAAGACAATTATTGGACTATAGAGGAAAAAAAAATAAAACTGTGTGTTTGTGTGTTTTACAAATGCAAAGCTAGTGGAATTTGCTTTTCCTCCACTAACTTCTAAATCTGGCTTCCCAAAACAGAAAAACTGCATGTGTAAGATCGTGACATTTACAATTGTTAAGTGACAGGGATGTTTTAAAAGTCTGAAAATGTCAACATACTGACTCCCTGTGTAGAAATGACAGTTAAGTGGTTTCCAATTATAAGCCAGATCATCAAATTCTGCAATCCTCTGAAGCTAGGTCTTATTTCAATTAAGTAAATGACCAGAACACTCATTTCGTTTTGCACAGTGTCCCCCAGTGTGAGAAATGCAGATCTTAGCATATTTCTCTTTTCCTTCCTTTCTCCCTTTACTTTTTTCTTCTTTCCATCCTTCCATCCCTCTTTCCTTCCATCCTTCCTTTTCTTTTAGTTTTATATTCAAGTACAATATATCTACAGGCATTTTCTAAATTCATAAGTATACATGTGTCCAATAAAAGAACACCAGATAACTACGATATAAGGACTAGAATATTACCAGAACACTACCCAGTGCCTCTCCGATTTTGTTCAAACACATTTTGAGTGACATGAGTATTGCATGCTTAGATTCCTTGTACATTGTCTACAAGTAACAATTTTATAATCTATAGGAAGAAATTATGTTTTAGATTAACTGACTTTACATACATCTGAAGTATTTTAGAATTATTTTTAAGAATGATTACAAAAACTCTTGTATGGTAGACACAATGGCATACAGTGAACTTAATAATCCCTTCATTGTATCACCAAATGTTTACTGATTTTTGGTAGTGCATCTATTATTGGTTCAAGAAAAATGCTTTAAAAAGTGTGTATCTGAATAGCACTTATTCAAATTTTTGTGTGTTTCTGTTCAGAAAGCAGTTTCGATATTTTCTCCAAATTTACATCAAGAATGTGTATTCTATTACAGTATGAAACACCAACTTTTTAAAGTGCTCATTTTTTCAATACATTTCATTCCACTAAAAATTTCCCCTAGTGCCTTCAACGTTACAAGGCTCGTGGAACTGCAAACCACCCAGTACTCTAATTTATAGAATTGCCTTCTCTTGCTGCAGTATGTCTTAGATTATGTGTATTTATTGTGTGCACTTGCCTAGTAATTTAAAATGATGCTCCTAAAATTGGAGCTTTCCAAATGAATACTGCAATTTAGAGACTGATAACAAGAAACCAGGTATTTTTACAGGACTAAAAGGGGCAAATTCAAGTGGCAAACTAACATTCTGCTTTGTAAGTAAAATTAAACTCAACAGGGTTTAGAACATAATTCAAGTTCAACTTTTTCATGTTCTGCTCTTTTAGCCTTTGGCTTTATGCCTAGGAGATGATAAAATGCATAAATTTTGGAATTATACCCAATAGCAATTTCAAACAGGTTGCTATTGTCTGAATATTCATGTAGCATTCAGCTCAAGCTTTCCCTTGAAGTGAGTTTGATCAAGTTGCCAATTTTCGATTATATACTTGCACTACTTTTTTTCAAAATTAGGAAAAATAGATTTCTTCTTCTGCCTGGCCACTCTCAGACAAATTTAAAAACTAAACTAAGGGTTCTGGTGTTTTTATTAACAATATTATTAAATTTAACAGCTCTTAATAATTGAAGGAACTTAGATTCTTGAATGTTGCTGTTTTTAATATTGACTTGCAAAATATACACTCAAAATAGTTTTACTTGGCCAAGCTTTTTTTCTCCCTCTCCTCCAATCTCCTCAGTTGTAAACTGAGGGCAATGTTCTAGAGGAGGCCTGCAGGACCAAAGCTTGACCATTCTGGATTGAGCTTTTTAAATAACTGCTACAATTTTAGCATCAGAATCTTTAAAACACAGTTATTCAAATGTGAATCAGAGGAAGATGGGAACAGTAAAGAAAACTCCAACCATCTGTTTGTAGAATACACTGGTTAGAGTGAGCAGTTCACTTCATTCAATGTTGATCATACTTGGAAAATAATTGGCTGGCGAGGAATACATTCTTGTGATTCTATTTCAGTGGAAATACCAGGGGAATATATCTATATTCTCCTCTCCTAGATAGAAAGAAGCTCCTTTTTGTTGTCTTCTCTCCAATTGAAGATTGACTATAACATTCTTTTGTTCATCTTACCAAAGCCTGCACTTCTTATCTGGCCACACCAGCACGCTAAATTGCCATTCAGTGGGGGGAGGACATGATCTCCCCATTGCTTGTTTAGAATTGAGTGTTCCATGCTACTCTCTCCATAAAGTATCTTAAGGGCTATCTTTCCCTCAAATGATTGTTCACACTTTTTCTTTATTTTGCTTTTGGATGTCAGTGCTATTATTCACCTGTCTTCCACCATTATCATCATTATCTAAAAACTGAATTTTCCATAAATAATCAGCTGAAGCATAAAATCACTTGCTCTCACAAACTTAGCACCCTGTGAGCCAGCATTATCATAGCACCATGCACAATCTGGAGAGACATACGAGAGTGAATGAACATCTGACAAGAATCTTCTTCTGGATATAAAAAGAAATTAAAGCTATACCTGTATATCTGCGTACAATTTCAAGCACTTATTTAAGTATGCTATAATAACAATGGAGAAAGCAAGGGTAGACAGTGCCATAGGTGACTGTATCATGTTAACCAGGGAAAGGAAGGTAAGCCATCCAGAGATAACCTCCCTGAAGGGGATTCACATTTGTAAAGAACTGATATTCTCAAGCAATATCAGAAGTGATCAAACACAATTTAAAAGATTCTAGAGAAAGGAGTGTTTGTTTTCTGTTATATTATTTTATAGAAATCAATGTCAGAAATGTGTTTCCCAAGGCAAATAGAAGAGTAGAAAACTATCATGGTTTAAAGAATAAAATGTGCTTAACTAAGCTAGGCTAAGTGGGAGCCAGAGCTTGAGTTCTTTCTATTCTGTTCAGAGGAAGAGGAAGCAATAAGAAATTCACTCTTCAAATATCCTTATAATTCTTATTCTTAATGCAAAACATTAGGTCTAGAAACTCTGAGAATAAGCAAAGAAGAATCAGTAATCTCTAAGTTTCCTCTGAATACACAGCCTTTCCTCAACTTGGACTGTTTTTATTTCCTGTATCACAACTTACAAGATGAATCCAACATGTATTTACTTGAATTTGAAAAGAATGAATCCTCCTTGGGATGCAAACTGCTGGGAGATATCTAACTGCTTTTAGCCCTCTGCCTCTGACTCCACCCCATCACTTCTTATTCCTAGCAGAGTTCTACCTGTCAGTCTAATTTTCTCTACCTTTCCAATCAATTCAAGTCCACTCATTCTTTCCAAGATTTTTTTCCTTGAAAATTTTTGGTTTGATCTTTCCTAAACCACCTCGTCACTTTTCAGCACAAACTTGAAGCCACAAAAAGTTTGACTTTTTTTGCCAAAGAAATAAGACAACAGGCATTTGTTTATAAATTGCTGTTCATCTTTTCATTTATCCATTCATTTAGCACCTGGCTCTTCATCCTGCACTAATGTCAACACTCAGATCAAAAATAGGAAGAAACTTTAGGAGGCTCAGCATTTTCTAGTCTACTAGAGAATGAGAGACATTTTTGTAAGTGGGGTGAGAAAGACCAGAGAAGTGCCCCCAGGTAAGTTTCAGGGACATAATAAGAGATTATGAAAATAAGTCTGCAATGGGTCCATATGCACAATTGGAGGGGCTCAGTACAAAATGAAAATGTGAGGCTACTTCTTAAAAATTAGTAAAAATTTTAGCATAGTAAGACATTAATCAAAGCACAGGGCCCCCTGAAACTGTAAGATTAAACACATAAAGTTGGCCTCCATAGCTGTTAAATTAGGTATTCCTCTACAGAACAGCAGCAACAACAAAAACTTTAGCAAGGGGAAGGAATAAATTATAGAAAACAGAAGTTTTCTCATTTATAAAATTAGAGTACTGAACCTTTCATCACAAGTTTTTGTGAGCTTTTTCACACACACACACACACACACACACACACACACACACAGTTATTTCACCCAAAAAGCCATGTTTTGATTTTGCTGTCTTAAAATATTTATATTTCAATTTTAACTCCAAAAAACCTATGCTAAGGTAGATGAAACTACCAAACTAGACAATTTAATGCCAATTTAAATGATTTTGTTTTCAAATAGTTGAAAAGTATCTAAAGATACCAGTTTCTACCAGAATAGAAACCAAAATTTGGTAACCCATGATTAAATACTATACAAATTCTCTTCATGTTCTCTTTTCTTGTGATTCTCACTAGCAAAAAGGGAATATTTGAGAATTTTCTTTTTGCCCTTGGAAAAATGCATGTATGATCAGTTTCAGAAATACAATGAGAAACTAAAACTTGGTGAAATCAATGTATCTCTAACATACTAATTGATTTAAGAATTAAAGCTGCATTTATGTTCTCTATCTTCACATCTCACAGCACTAATCTTATGATTTATGCAGATTCTAACTTGACATACCTGTCCATTTTTGGTACCTTGCCACTTCTGAAAGCTTCCAAGCTTTAAAAAGGCACATGTATTTACATAAGCATCTTTGGAAAATGGACTGTAAAAAGTCTTTCTTTCCTAATTATATATTTATTTAATATACAATGAGCTTATAATACTTGGAAAATTCACA